GGTGCTGTAATGGCCGCCCGACTCTCGGAGGACCCCTCTATAAGCGTACTGCTATTGGAGGCCGGGATGGCTGAGAACATCCTATCGGACGTTCCCATGAATAGCATTAATCTGCAGACATCGCCGATGGACTGGTCCTTCAAAACACTGCCGCAGAGTAAGGCGTGTCAGGGGCTGGAGGGTCACCGAGGGGTGTGGCCCAGGGGTAAGGCTATGGGCGGCTCGTCCACCATCAACTCAATGGTATATATGAGAGGCAATCCTCGCGATTACGACCTGTGGGCGGCTGCCGGTGCCCGGGGCTGGTCGTGGCCGGAGGTGTTCCCCTATTTCATCAAATCCGAGGACAATCGCGACCCCAGACTAGTGGCCACCGGTTATCACGGAGTGGGCGGTCCTCTGACCGTAAACACACCATCCGTGCCGAGACGGATGTCCGAAGTGTTTGTGGGCGCGGGTCCGGCGCTCGGGTATCCCGTGGGGGACGTCAACGGCGGCACACAATCCCAGTTCTCTATACCCCAGACCACGTCCAGGGATGGCATGCGGTTGTCGGCCGCGAAAGCCTATTTGGAGCCACTGGTGGACAGACATAATCTGCACGTATTGACCAAAGCCTATGTCACGAGAGTACGGTTTGACGGGAACAGGAGGGCAGTGGGCGTAGAGTTTGATCGCTTGTTCAAGAGGTATACAGTGAGAGCTCGAAAGGAAGTCATTCTGTCTGCCGGTGCTATCAATTCGCCAAAACTATTGATGCTTTCAGGTGTTTATGAGACAACAAATTATTTACATTTATTTAAACGTGTTTTTAAAACGACTATTAATAAGCTTTAATGATATGTAATATAATAATGACTATAATTATATGAATTTAAATTAATTTAATGTTTACATTGAAGGCATTGGACCCAAAGAGCATTTAAAGTCGTTGGGAATACCTGTGATATCGGACTTGAGAGTAGGAGACAATCTCCAGGAGCACTACTGCACGGGTATGCCGTTCACAGTGAATGAGTCCATCGGCATAGACGTGTTACGGGAGGCGACCCCCTGGCATATACTCGACTACTTTCTATTCAGAAATAATAGTCTCACCAATAATCTGGTGGAGGGAACGGCATTTGTCAAAACTAAATATGCCCTTCCCTTTGATGATTTCCCTGATATCCAGTTTTTTATGATACCTGGTATGGTTTTGTGTTAAAAAATTAAAAATTGACTTTTCCAAATAAACTT